AATAGTGTATATATATATATATATATATATATATATATATAAAACTTCATGTACTTGTTTTGTGGTCTAAGAGATATTAGACAGAGAAGTCGGCATTTACAATTTAGAATAAAAGAACATCAAAATGCAGTGGATAAATAAAAAACAGGTGAATTGGCTTTGGCACAACATGGGGAATTCTAAACGTGTTATTGATTGGGATAATGTAAAAATGAGAAGTGATAATTTGGTAGAGGTGCATAAAGGGAGTCACATGCATCACGTGAGTGTACTATTCTCCTATTGGTGGAGAAGTGATGCATGATCATTTGCATGAGACACAGGTTGGAATCAACAGGGGGTGCAGAAGGCTTATAGCATGCGTAATAAAAAAGTTTGCATATAGATGGTAGCGATGAATGGGAATAGCTAATCTTGTGAGTGGAGGGAAGTACCATATTGAAACTGTGAACTTAGAAGGACCATCTTCTCAGCTGTAATGTGAAGCTGTGAACTCACAAAGACTATCTTCTCAGCCATAATGTGATACTGTGAGATCATAAACTAACATGAACTAACTTCAGAGCTCTAATGTACAACTGTGAGCTTACTAAGACTAACACTACTGCTCTAATATGAAACTTGGAAATTAATTACATATTCAAAATACTAATGTAAAATTGAGATTACTGTTTAAGCTCAAACTCACAGCTGTAATGTAAAACTTTGACATTTAAAAGTATTAAATTCACAACTTAATTGTAAAATATTAATTTCAGAACAGCAGTTACTTACTATATTTACAGCTATGTTGTGGAACTGGAAACTTACTAAGATTAATTTCACAGCTGTAAAGTGAAATTTACACTTACTAACTGAACAGCACTAGGAACAAGTACATACTTATGCATTGACTTATGCTCCATCCACCAATTTGCTATTCTTTCTTCCCACATCTCCTTACTCAATTTGTGCTGGTCCATAACTCTGCAAAACAGTACATTATAGAGTTAACAAGTAATTGTCTATGCCTATAACACTAAACCCCATTTCAGATCAAATCTTACATTGTTACAAAAACCTCCTTAACACAAAATAATTTATTACTGAATTAAAAGCCAAAAATATCACTGAAAACAAAATTAATAAAATTGTTTACAAAAACCTGATAAAAAACAGCTTACCAGTCCTATGCACAATCCAATTACATATCTAAATTCTCAGACTTATTTGTTGCTTCATATTACTTAATGATAGAAGTACTCATGATCCCCTCTTTAAAATTCTTATTATTTTTACAAGTAATTCAAATACATTTCCTGAAACTTAATTATATTTATAAACTTATAAATAAGAATCTTATAAAGAAAAAAAATGTGTATGATAGTTTCAGCAACCCACATTCACTTTGCAAATAAAATTTGTTACTAATATGTAAAAAATATTTTAAACTTTTCTCCTGCATAACTAATTCAACTGTAATATACTACAGACACGCAGCTTACTTCTGCAGATGAAGGTAATAATTCTGATAAATTCCTGGCAACATTTTTTCATATATGTAAAAGACATATCTTACCTCTGGGGAAGTAGTCGATCATTTTCAAACATTCCTGGGGAATAGTTACTAGAGTTGTAGTCACCGTATTTAGCTTGTACAGCATAGGAAGCTAACAAAACTGATGTTTCTGGTGGGCAGTAAATTTCATCATTCAGTATTCCATTTTTTACTTGAAGATAAAATAATCTCTAGGGAAGAAATATTAGGAATTTTTAAAAATAAAAATAAGATATTACTTAGCAAACAGAAATTGTACAACTTCTTTTTTTACAAATAGCTTATCTAGTCATGGCACTCTAGTACAATGCCATCTGAAAAGAAAATCATAACAAACATAAGAAACAAAAAGGATTTCTCTTAGAAATAAAAAGCTTCACATTATACCTAGTAGTTTCAATATATTACCTTTTCTTGTAGATGAGCCTTGAGAATATGGCAAACAAACTCTCACGTTATCAACTTTACATTTTCCCTTTAACTTTGTACATGCTAATATTCTTAATTTATTGATATGTTTATGATGCAATCTGTCAATAATTTCGGGTTTATATCCTTTATCTCTGGCTACATGTTTTAAGAAACTTACCTGTGCTTTCACATCACAATCATAAGTGCATATTTTTAAGGCTCTAAACAAATGTGGAGAAGGTGGATGGATTTTGTGTCCACGAGTGCATGCCAAAAACATGTGGTGGAATGACACTGATACTTTATTTGAATTTGAAAAACATCTTAACTCGATTAGTCCTACCATCAGATTTACATTAGAGATGGAAAAAGAGGGTCAGCTAAATTTCTTAGATGTTATCGTCAAATGGGACAATGGATGACTCTTGACTTCTTTTTATAGAAAGCTATTTTCTTTGGCAGTACCACCACACAATACATCGTATCACCCATAGACAATAAATCAATTCATCTTTTCCACATTTGTGTTTAAAGCCTTAAAAATAAGCACTTATGATTGTGATGTGAAAGCACATTTAAGTTTCTTAACACACGTTAGCCAGAGATAAAAGGATATAAACCTGAAGTTATTGACAGACTGCATCATAAACATATCAATAAATTAAGAATGTTAGCATGTACAAAATTATCCCTCTCGCCCACGAGTACCCTTTACTGCACGACACAAGGTTTTAGTGTTTTACATTCAAAATTTTATTAAACTACATCTTGTTTGTTATAAAATGTTAGCTAATAATCCATATTTTAATAGCATACAAGTTTTAAGTTCTTCATTCTACAGGACAATATAAAAAAAAATCCTGAACTTCCACAAGTATGACCCATGTGACACATTTTGTCTTAGCATTTCACCATCTCTATTTTATCCACCACCCCCTTGAAAATGTAGGAAATTGGACATAAAATACTCACTATAAAATCGTTATTGCTCAAACAAACCATAATTTTTACAGCCTTCAATTTTGTTTGGTTACAGAGCTATCAACAGAAAATCAGATCCCTCCTGCCACACCCACCTGTCACATCCTCTCCTTCACAATTCGTTGAGTTCTCTCGTACGTTTCATTATATATTACCTATAACCAATAGAAAGTCAAG